CAGCGCCTGTTTAGGGAGACTCGGGGACCGGGGTTGAGAATGGGCGTGGTGACGTGCGCCGGTAATCCCAGCGCTTGGGAGGTGGAAAACAGGAGGATAGCCACAAGTCTGATCTGTGTATTAAGACCTTGTCGACTCTGTAGTAAATACATTTTAAAAAAAGAAGAAGAAAAGAAAACAAATACAGACTCCTTCTACCTCATTTCCAGCCAACCAAATTATGGTGTGAAATTGAACAAGATCCTTAGGGGACATAAAGGCAAATTAAACTTTGAGATCACCTGCTCTGGAGTTCTAACTTATTGGCAAAATAAACTGTCCTGTCTCACCGTCGTCTAGAGTTCAGTGAGATCTCGTAGTTGGGGCAATTGAATTATGAAGCTCGATGTAAACGGCGACAATTGGACCTCTGGTCACTATTGAAGACTTCCCCAGTGCAGCACACAGGAAATGTTTTCCTGAGTAGCGAAGGGAAGGAATGAACCAGGTTCCGCCTCTGCAGGTGCACAGTTAGGGCAGTCTGGGCATCTCGCGAATCTCTTTCCGCAATCGCTCCTGGCTCTCCCATGCATGAGCTAGGGGGAACTACTGAGTTACGACTCCTCTACTATTTATACACTGCGCATTATTTTTGTTTGCAAGATATGCTCCCCCAGTTCTATGGCATATATTGTAGTGGGCATTTTATCTTAAACAAGTTTATTAGCCTAATATCTTTTTTTCTAATTTTTCTTGGTAGCAGCCAACTCCTCTCAGTATCCCTAGGGTTATACTCTATGCCAACACTCCCTCTAGTGGTGACTTCTTTTATCTGCTTATAGTTACCTATAAGTTATGCGCTGATAGTTACCTTTAGGACAGTGCCTACATTTTTTTTTGTTTTTTCAAAGTTTTATTGATAAACAGATAACAATGAGACAGTTTCAAATCCAATCAGAAGTACAGTTTCAACAAATAATACACTGCATATATTCTTCTTAGTGGTTAATTGCTGTACAAGAAGTGGACTTGTGATCCTATTTGCAAACACCATTAGAACATTTTGAGACCAAAAACTTGACCGTTATTCAAAATAAGGAACGTATTTTATACCACCACATATAATTACGAGAAGGTTATATTATTCCCCCAAATTTGTCCAATATATTGGGACATTTTCTATTTATTTAAAACTTAAGTTAGTTGTATTCATTACATTGATTTAATTTCAACATTCACTGCATTGTATCCTACATTCTGAAAAGGAATTTTAAGTAAGGAAAAACAGATGTACATACAAAGTGTCTGGTGTGATCAATTACTTAATGACCTGCGCCACCATATGACTTTCTTTTAGTTCTTGATGCATCTGCAGAGAATGACTTGGAGAAGATGCATAGCCAGGAAACCTGGCTACGTTTTCATAACTTTGTGTTTCCTGGGTTTAGCCATAAAAGGAATATTCCTCAAATATACATTCAGCAAAATTAAATCTATAATCAGCTTCAAAAATGATGATTGCAAAGAATGAGATTACCTGGAGTTCTACTTGAGTTATGAGAAGGAAATTCATAAATAAATCCACATGTCAAATACACAAATCAATTACAGCAGAAATGCACACAGTTAGTGGATGGTGGCCTCCTAGAGATGTGCTTTAAAAACCACTAAGATGAATGGACAAATGTGGTTGAGCAGTAGAGGATGTGGAAGTAAAGAATGTAAAAGGGGTGCATTGTCATCTTACATTTAGGGATGCTAGGAATTAAAGTCATTCCATTCATCTAACTTAACCTGAAGTCTTGGGGGCCTCCTGTGGCTATCAAGTAGTTTGTGTTATATGGGTCAGCAAGGAAAGCCACTGACAGAGGGACCCACTAGTGCCCCAAGAGCTTCTGAGGATCTGATGATGTAGCTTAAAAAGTGTTTTTCCAGTTCACTGGCTTACAGATAGTGACAAATAGGAATTTAAGTCACAATAGGTTAAATGCACCACTTGGACATGGATAATGATTGGGTATGTCTGATGAGAATGGTGAGCTCAAGGAGAGCTGTAGAACTCCTAGGAGAACCGAGGTTGGCCCAAGGTCAAAAGCAGATATGATACCCGGGACAGTATATCGGTCTTCAAGAAAGGGTACCTAAGTCCAAAAGTCAGCCAAAGTCAGCACAAGAGAGTGACTGCAAAATTAAAAAGGAAAAAAAAAAATCTCAAGAGAGATTTTTCCCAGTCTTCTAATTAAGAAATAAATCTCATCAACAGGTTCTCCTTAGAGGAAAGGAATAACACTCATAATAATACCAGGTAACTCAAGCTTCTAGTAACAATGGACTGGATTGAGGACAATGACCAGTTGTGGCTGGGCCAGTTGGATGTTTTCTCTCTCTCTCTGGGTTTTTTTTTTTTTTTTTTTTTGGGGGGGAAGGGTCTACAGGGTGTTCAGGTTCTCACTACTAGATCGGACTTGTAGTGACCTGCCTGTTTACAGCCTCCCAAGAGCTGGGTTTACAGGTGTGCACCACCACGCCCAGTCTCAATTGCTCTCTCAGTGTGCCCCGGGGGTAGGTCAAGCACAAGCAGCTCTGGGGATCAAGTTCTTGGCCCCTGGGTCTGCTTTCAGGGCCTCTAATCCACTGAGCTATTTGGCCGGCCCTAGATGTTATCTTGAAATGGAATTTCTTTACTGAGAGTATAAAGTTGCAAGTTCTTGGAGCATAAAGGTTGGCAGAATTCTCACAGGTTGGCTGTGTCTGATCACTGTATGTATACTCCAAGGCAAGTTGTAAGAGTATCACCCTGATCCAGCGAAACAGAGAAAACGCACAAACAAATGGAAAGAATAGCCTTGCTTCCTGATTTTCTTTTTTTCTTTTGAGCCTTTCAAGAGACTTAGCAATATTCTTTAATCTTGGGATAAACCCAGGTCCTTCCAAATCGTTCTCTTTTGCTTGAGTGTGTAATATGAAGATAAGCTTAACTGATCTAGAATAAAAGAAACCTACACCCCAGTTCAGGCAGGCAACTTTGAGGTGTCAACACCCCAATTAGAATACGGACTCTGCAAGTGGAAATGAGGGAGGATTCAGATACCAGCTACAGTACAAAATGATTCCCACCAACTGTGGACATTGGGGATTAAGACACAAAATGGGCCAGTTCTACCTTCTTTTCCAATAATTGTGGAGAAGGAATTTTTAGAGATAGGATATAAGAAATTATACTTTTAGAGGAGATAGATATTTTTATCAACCATATCAAAAGAATCAGAGCTCTAGATTCATTGAACTATTAAATTGTGGAAGGTTCAATAGGTAGGCACGGATATGAAAGGACCAGGAGTTGTGTCATCACAAGTTCTCAACAGGGCCTGTGCTGATACTAACTTATCCCTTGATAAACTGCATGTCTCAATATCCCTAAGATAAAAATATTCCCAAAATATTTTTGCCATATAAGGTAATAACATGTTCATAAATTCCAGAAACTAAGATATGGACATTCTTGAGGAGAAGATATCTTTCAATTTACTGAAATCATTTTAAAATTTCTGCAATTTCTAATTGTTATCCTTTTCTGTTGGTTAGCCTTACTAAAGATGTATAAATCCTACTGAAATTTTAAAATAATTGCCTTTTTTTGTATTATTTTTCTATTGTTTTCTATTCTTCTTAGCTCTCTTTTTCTGCTGGCTTTGTGCTTAAAATGGTTTTTTTTTTTTTTTTTTCTACAGTATCCTAAAGATCATTGATTTTAGTTATTCTTTTTTAATACATCCATCTAATATTATCAGCTTCACCCTAAGCATTGCTTTCACTGTGTGTATTTAAGAAATTTGCATTTTTGTGGGGGAGATAGCTCAGTGAAATAAGTGCTTGCCTGGCAAGTGCAAGATCCTGAGTTCAATCTCCGGTACCGCAAAAAAATAAATAAATAAATAGGAAAAAGAAAAAGAAATTTGATTTTTCATTTTGTTCAAACTATTTTTAAATTTTCCTGTGACTTCTTATTCTCTCTGTGTTATTTGGAAGCATGTTATTTAATCTCAGAATATTTTGGGATCTCTTTACTGTGTTTCTGATTTCTAGTTTTATTTTATTTTAATTCGATGAAATACTTCGTATGATTGCTAGCATTTTAAATTGATCCAGATATCTTTTATGTCCCAAAATGTGGAAAAGCCTGGCGAATATTTCATTTAAACTTTAGTGATGCTGCTTTTCAGGTCAATAATAATCTCCCTGATTTTCTGCTTGTTTGGTCTACCTAAGAGTGTTTAGGTACAGATGGTTGCTAACTTACTATGGCTCTGCTTAGGAATTTTTAACTTCATGATGTTCAAATACATGCAATCATTAGATGTACTACCTCGAAATTTAAATTTTACCCTTTTCTTGGTCTGCTATGTGATGCCCTGAGCAATGCTGAGCTGCACCAACACTCTGCGTTCCATCAGCCACAGATAGCAGCTGGGCAACTCTAATACGCTGGGGTTCTACGCTGCTGGGCTGTGACATTTGCATTTGACTTAAGAGATTATCAGCCTTCAGTATCTTCATCAAGGGACAGCTGCACTATAGGTCAAAGAACATCTATGAAACACATTTTTCTACCTAGAAGTTATTTCCTTGTGTGTTTAAAGGTGTCTTGAGAACATACTTGTCAAGTGTTTTCACGTCTTCTTCAAGAATCAACCTCTTTTATCTTTTTGGGATGATTGTCTAGGAGCCCACATAAAAATAATTCACTCTTGTAGCCCTGCACTTAATGGATATATTTAGACCATATAAAGAGAGAAAATAAAAGCATACAAATATAAAATAAACATGTTTATTATTGCTCTCTGGGACATCAGGAAGCCCAGCAGAGTCTGAAATGAGGGTGAGAGGAAGCAAAAGAGATGATCAGAAGAAAAGAGCACACTGAGGGGAAGGCAGCATGGTCTCTTTTGGGGGTAATCTTTCACATTCAGACTCTTCCTGGTGACAAGCAACACACAGTGTCAGCTGGGTGACTGCATACTCTAGGGCTTGAACTTGCAGATATAGGGTAACTCTGCATCACAGTCATAATCTCTCCACTTCAGAAATCCTGGCAACACAGGAAAGGCAAAGAAAATGGGTTTGGAGAATCTGGGGAACTCAATAAGAAGGCATCATAGAGCACAATACAGGCTTTAAAGCATCTTCCTCATCTTTTCCAGTGTCACAGACAAAGAGAAGGAGATGGAGATGGCAGAATAGAAGCTGCCAGTGAATTTCCTATTTCACCAGAATTCCCAGAAAATTAGGCTCAGGAACAGGCAAAAGAGATGGGGAAGACAGTAGAAGTTGCTCCTGTGTTTCTTACCAGAGGTTTGGGTCACACTCCCACAGTAACCACGGTCAGAGGCAGTGGAAGGATTTCTGTCCCAGTTGAAGAAATCCAGCACATCGGTGCTGCTCCAAACCCAGCCACCAGCATTGGGTTCTAGACCCTGCAGCGAGAGGCACAGGTGGGAGGAATGGTCATTCCATCTCTGGCTGCATGATCTGGTTTCTAGAACAACCACTCCCCTCCCTAGCCCAGCGGAATCTGGTGTGCTTCTGCTTGCCTTGCCAAGATCACTGTGAAAGACTTTCTCTCTGAATTGCTCTTTCCCATTCAAATATTCTAGTTATTGATCAGAAGGGCTTTGAGCACACTAAACTAGTATCTTGCTTGCTGAGTGTAATTGGTGACTTATGAGTGATTAGTCTGTAAAATTCAAAGTCATATCTGTTACATAATGCATTATATAATGAGTATATATGGAATTTAGTTTCATTTTAGGCTCTTGTTTGGTCTTTTGAACTTGTTTGAAACTCAAATTATTTCCAAAGCTTCCTGTGAGACAGATTACATTAATCTGAAGGCGAGGGATCACAGAGCTCAGTTGTTTAGTGGGCATCAAGGATTTGCCATGCCACCCGAAACCTGAGTTCCACCTCCCTGGCATTACTGCTGGGCCTTCCCAAGACAGTGGGCTCTGGCAACAGTGATACTTGACAGATAGCACAGAGGAGAAGATAGATTCACACCAGAGTGGAGTCATGGAGCCCAATCCAGATGTACGGGTAGGAGGTGCCACTGATCCTGACCAGCGAGGACATGAAGGCCGCCTCAGCCTCGCTGAGCACAGATGCAAGGTGTCCGGAGGGCCGCTTCTGGCAGGCCAGCTGCATGGGAAGAGAGTGGTAGGAAGCACGGGACCTCAGGGGGAAAGAGCAGGCAGAAATACACACATGGGGACCCTTTATGAAAACCCAGGGTCTTATTTCTTTCCCAAGAAACTTTGGGGAGCCCCTCTTACCATCCTTCCCTGTCATCCACAGCCCCGTATATAAGCACTCACCTCAGCAAAGGTCCAGGATTTGGGTGTCTTGAACAGGGCATAGCAGTAGGAGCCATAGGCCCTGGAGCCTTGGGGACAGCTGACACGTGGAGAGGACAGTTTTTCCCGGGCACCTTCACCTGCATGCGGGGATGAAAACAGGGTTGAGTAAAATGTCAGTAAGCTTGTGAAAAATCATAAGACCTGCCCTTGGATAGTAAGCATACAGCCCTACATTTTTAGTCCCTTTTCCCACATTCAGAGGGAACGCTTTATCTTACAGTTGACCTCCTATATGGGGAGCAACTGTGTTGCTTTTGAACTTCTCTCTCATCAGTTACTTCACATGCTCCCTACCACCCCACCTTGCCCTGACAGCATCTTTGGCCCTGCAATCCTTGTCCTTCTTTACTTTTATTACTGACCTTTTCATATTTTCTGTCTTCAACCCCAAAGTGGAATCAAGGGCCCTGACAAAGCCCATCTCATTCTGGGCTAGACCATTCTGCTGCCCTCAGCAGTGGGAACCACAGGGAAGGCAGAAGCAGGGGGATTTACAGGGAGTTTCATATGTGGAGGACATCACATCACCACAGCAAAAACACTGCCCCTTTCTTCCCTTTGTGGCTCTGACCCTCATAGGGAATCCCATGTCACAGCCACAGGAAACTCACCTTGGACCTGACATAAGAGAAGCAGGGAGGAAAACAGCACCCAGGACACACCTTTGAGAGATGAGGCAGGTAGCATGGTGTCTGTGGCCACCAAGATATTTGGTCTAGAAGGTGACAGGGTCAGAGAAGGGGCAGGCAGAGACAGCATCTCCCCCTTTCTTCTCCTGTTACAGCAGCACAGTGATCTTGATCTTACCCAGCCCCATGTATAATTTGAAAGGACTTTGGAAATCTGCACTTCCCACATTCCATGACAGCTCCCAGGACCGCTTCTGCTAAATCTTGGCTCCTGTGTTCTCTGACACAGGGGAATTTCCTCACCTGCCCCATTTCCTTCAGCTCCCACTTACCTTTCTTGCCTCTTGCAAGAATCTGATGATTGGTAGGGAAGCAAAGCCTGGGCTTTTATAGGGGATCTGTAGGAGGGGCCCTGACTGGAACTCATAAGCAGGGATCAGAGCTGGGCTTGGCATGGACTCCAGGAGATTTCCCACCATGGGGAGACTTTTCCTGCCAAAAGCTGGGAATCACCACAGCTGTTGCCTCTTTCCTGTTAACAGGTCAGCTCTGCTTCCAAAACAGGTGAAGTCTGAACTTTTTCCACACTCTCCCAGATACAATGTTCTGAGAAACTGCAGGGTGTACAAGCAGTCATGTGGCATTAACTGTGGAGTCCCAAAGTGGGAAAATACTGTGTCCTTGGATATTAAGGAAAATAAATATGGGAAGTGTGCTTTGGATAAGATTGGAAGAGCTGTCTTTTCCAGATGGTACCTATACCATTTAAAAACCTGCCCAATAACTTTGAAGGAAAATTATCAAATGAAAATTGTGTTGGTCAGAAATTGGAACTATTGGTGAGGAAAATGTATTTCTGGAAGGATGCAAGTGAATGTAATCCAAGGAAAGAGTAATTCTGGGAAGCTGCCTCTTCAGATTTGTTGTAAGAAGTGGGGCCAGAAGAGACTTTGTGAGTTAAAGCTCTAAATGAACACAAAGGAAGACAGAAATAGTAGGGATGACCAGAAGCAATGGTGAATGCTTAAATAAAAGTATTATTCCAGTAAAAGGCACATTGCCATTAATACCCCTTAAAATACTTGCTTCAAATGCACTTACCCCAATCATACTTGCCACTTTCAGGAGAGCTTCTGAAGTCTTTCATTAGTGTCTTCAAGAGGTGTGATAAAAGTACAGAGAATGCTGTTCTGAGTACCATCTAATGCAAAACGAGGGTTGGAAAAATACTACATTGCATCCTTACCCACCCTGCCCCCTCTCCCACCACGTGACTTATGAGTCTCCTCTAGAGTCAATGTGCCCATGAAAGGTCGAAGTTTAGAGTGGATTCAGGACATGGAGGCAGCTGCATTGGGCCATGACACACTTGACTGAGCATGTGCAGAAGTGATGAAGCAGTGAAGATGGTGAATATGCATTAGTAAGTCCTATCCCTTGAACTCATTGCTATGTTTGTGTGTATTTGTATCCCCAAAGCCTCATGCAGTTATGAGGCAGACTTCTACAGATGTGATTAACTCATGATCCCCTGGGATTATGGGTGTGAGTACTACACCTAGCCTGAGAGCAATTTAAGGAAGATAGACTTCCTCTCTCTAGCCATTGTTGCCACTACTCCTCCCATTTGTTCTTGCTCTTGGCCACTGCCATGAACTGCTGCCCTCTGCCATGTGCCATTCTGCCTTGGACCAGCTGAGTATGGACTGAAACCTCCAGTAATTGTGAGCTACATAAACCTTTCCTTCCTTCATTTTGGATGACAGGTATTTGTCTCAGAAATGAGAAAGAAGAGTAGTTGATACACCCATGTACTTCAATAATGTGCAAGATCAAATGGTAACCCTCCAACCTTAAATCCAGTGGATTTTATGAGGAAACCATGGAATGCATTGAGTTGCAGTTCACTGCTCCATGTAATACAAATTTACTTGAAAAAAAAAGGGTAGAAAGACATCCTTCAGTGTTTCGTAGATGAAAATTTTCTGAAGCATCTAAAAAAATGATCATAGATACCTGGTATACATTTTTAAAATTGTGTTTTAGTGTCTTATAGATATCAACAACAGCTTTATCAATAATTCTTTGGGATGCTGAGATGCTGATTTTTTTTTTTTTTTTAACCAGAAATCAAAGTCAGGACTTTGCATTTGCCACGCAGGGGTTTGTGCTGCCAAGCTATCTCCTCGGCACTTCCTGAATAGTTTTATGTGCATAAAAATGCTCTGAGGGAAAGGAGAAAAGAAACAAAGAAGTGAAAAATATGTACACATATACGCAGGGTAGTTTGGATGACTGGAGTGCTGATTTTTCCACTGGTCTGTTGATGCTTTATTTTTTTTATTTTGTTAATTTTTTTGTGGCACCGGTGATTGAACATAGGAACCTGTGCTTGTCAGGCAAGTGCTTGTTGTACTGAGCTATCTCCCTGCGCCCCACTGGTCTGTTGAAAGTAATACTTAATGCTTCATACTTTTTCTTCTTTTTAATCTTTTTGACCAAATTTGCATGGTTATATCTGGTGATCAGAAAAACCAATTGCAAGACTACCATATGCAACATACCAACTATTGTTCAATACTTATCATTTTGTTTAGTGAAATTCTGTACCACTTTCTATGCTTTTTTTACTTATTCTTTTCTCTTTAGAAAATAAAAAAAAGGTTCCCAGATGAAAATCATTAATTAATCTCTAGAACCCCTGATCAATATCAATCTCTAGGAAATATGTAAGATGAAAATAGGTTTTATGATTTACAGCAAAAGAATAAAACAGAAAAGTTCAGAGAGTGTAAAATCTTGTCAGACAAAAGACTCTTCTTTCTCAACAATGAGTTAAGAAAATAGCACTCAACATCTTAGAGAATTATGTGTGAAACCTACTGTGTGGTAGGTTTTTATTATTTTAAATCAGAAATATTTATTTTTATAATATCTCAAAATAATAAAAAATCAAATATTTCAAAAAATAAATTTATTTGTATAATATTTTAAATCAGAGGGGCTGGTGAGATGGCTCAGTGGTCTAAAGCACCTACTTAGAACAAGCTTAGCAAAGCACAGGGACTGCGGTTCAATTCCCCAGCACCACATGCCAGCCAGCCCCCCCCCCCCCGGTGGGCTGAGCTGGCCACACACACACACACACACACACACACACACACAAATAAATAAAATTTAAAAAAAAATCAGAAATATTTAATTTCTAATTTGAACAAATAAATAAGAAAATTTTAGATGTAAGATTATCTAGATAAATTGATCAGCTATGAAGATAACTGGTTACATCTGAGGGGCTCAATAAGATATTTAAATTACATAAAGCATACTTATCATTTAAAGATACATAAAAACTAAAATTTTTTGTCAGAATTTTTTCCATATACTCCAGTTTGTTAGTGTCCAAAAGAAGAGGATGTGAATGGAACAAGAGAAGCCATTGGGGATCTTTGTTACTCAATAATAAACACATAGAGAATGACAGTAATTTTCCTTCCAGGGTTGACTGAATTATTTTTATAATATTTTGGGAAAGGGTTATGAAGAAATTTCAAAAAAGTTCTAGATAATAAGGGAAAGAAATTTAAAGGCCAACCTTACTTAGAAACATAAAGTCAAAATTTCTGAGCAAAGTACTAAATATATCAAGTTCATTTATATGTATAACAAATTAAGAGGGAAAAAAAGTGTTAACCCTCAGAATGTAAATATGATTTCTTTTGAGAAATCATTAGTGTTAGTGTCACACCATATTTAAGGATAAAGATCCATACGACTATCCAAAAAAGTTCTTCAGTTGTATTACATTCTCATAAATGAGTGGCAAAAATGCTTAACAAAGACAGGGTAAGACTATCTTTTGCACTTGATGAAGAGGATGTAGCTGAGTGGCACAAGTACCTGCCTGGCAAGCACAAGGTCCTGAGTTCAATTCTCGGTAGCAAAAAGAAGAAAGAAGAAAGGAAAACTAAAACTTGATGAAGAAATCTATGAAAACTCAAAAATAAAGTACAAAACATTTATCTTAAACACAAGTATATACAAGTTTCCTTTTCTCATTAATTCCATCTAATAATACTATGCCACAGAAAGTACACTTTCTATAAAAGAAAAATCTAAACAAGAAAAAGAAATAAATGAATGTCATTATTTGTGTATGTCATCTCTATAAAAACATAGATTTTTCAAATTACTAGAATTAAAGACATAATTTAGTTATCAAAATTATTGTCAATATGTAAATTCTAATTGAATGCCAACCTTCTACTCAAGTTAAAAGAGGAATTATTAGAAAGGTCACTTCTGTAGGAAATATACATGTATTAAAATATAAAGTTAATCTCATTTAATGAATTTAATGAATAAACACCTCTTAACAATACAGAGATATCAAACGTGTTTACAGGATAAAGACAATATTTTGAAAGATTGCTTGTTTTAACTGTACAAAAATGAGCAGAGTTTTTCCTTTTAACTTAATGAACTAGTTAAAGACTTTATAAAGAAAAACAATCAAGGATATTCAACGTATTTGGAAAAAAACATACACACACGAAAGAATTTAGTTGGATCTAGGATTTAACCCCAAAGTGCATGGTTAAAGGCTTAACAAACTTTGATGTATATAAAAACATGGAGACCAACACCATGGTATACAGAAATTAAAATTAAGATGAGCCTTTACTGATTAGAAAGAAACCCTAAATAATTTGAATTAATTGATTAGTCAAGAATCAAGAAAAATATCTAGAATTGACTTATTTTGAAATTCTAAAACTTTAAAAAGTAAGAATAGAATAAAAAAAGTCTTGACTATGACGTAAGTATGGTTTTTAGATACAAAAATGCACAAGTTATAAAATAAAATATTGATAGATGTGAAGTTATTTTTTAGAAATGAATTTAAGGTGCTGTTCGTGAACTATGTTAGAGGCAAACTATGGGGCCATTGAAGACGGCAACGTGGAAGAAATGGAAGAGGAAGTATGGATTAAGAAGAGAAGAGGACAAAGAAATGTGGACAAAGATCCTGTGAAGGAAGATGTAGAAAACGCTAAG